TACTATGTTTAGCACTTGCAGAATTTTAACATACACATAAATTTAAGGTGTTTGCTTGATATAACATACTAAAACTTTGTTAACTTTTTTATTAATCTGCAGAAAACAATTTTATAAGTAAATTCTTAATTAAATGCATTTATTAGATTATGATTTTCATGTTTTTTTGCATTATACCCTGTTATTGAATTTGATCAGCTAGCAAAATTTTGCAAAATTTAGTAAATTCAATTAATCAATTATATAGTACTGTATTTTACAATATAAGATGCCAGTATATTATATTTCTCATATCTTATACCTCTGGCATTTGCTTGTAAAAAAATGTTTTTATTATTAAATCAGTTACTGATTTGTATTTAGATGTTTTAACAAAAGCGACTGTTCAAATTTGATTTGTATTTGGATGTTTTAACAGAAGCAACCATTCAAATTTAATTTGTATTTGGGTGTCTTAACAGAAGCAACCATTTAAATTTGATTTGTATTTGGGTGTCTTAACAGAAGTGACTATTCAAATTTGATTTGTATTTGGGTGTTTTAACAGAAGTGACTATTTAAATTTGGATGTCTTAACAAAAGTGACCATTCAATGTTGATTTGTATTTGGATGTCTTAATAGAAGCAACCATTCAAATTTGATTAGTATTAGATGTCTTAACAAAAGCAACTATTCAAATTTGATTTGTATTTAGGTATCTTAACAGAAGTAACTATTCAAATTTAATTTGTATTTGGGTGTCTTAACAGAAGTGACCATTCAATTTTGATTTGTATTTGGTTGTCTTAACAGAAGCAACTGTTCAAATTTGATTTGTATTTGGGTGTCTTAACAGAAGTGACTATTCAATTTTAATTTGTATTTGGGTGTTTTAACAAAAGTGACTGTTCAATTTTGATTTTATTTGGATGTTTTAACAGAAGCAACTATTTAAATTTGATTTTTATTTGGGTGTCTTAACAGAAGCAACTATTCACATTTGTAGATTATTCTGATATAGTTATACAATTGATAAATAATTTTTTTAAAAACTCAGGTATTTTAATTTTTTATGAAACAAGAGTAAATTTAATAAAAAAATTAATGTTTTTGCTTTGCTCTATAATATATTTTTTGAATCCCTGTGTATCCCATAACTTTTCTTTGTAATCTGATTAGCTGATTTGCTAAAACTTGAGATATAATTAGTTGACAATCACATGTATTGTATAGAAATCAACTATGAATTTGAACAGTTGTTTCTGTTGGGTATCTTACATCAGAGTACACTAAATAATCTTGAAATATATATACTTATACAATACAGAAGAGTAAAAATTAGGGGTATCAGTCAAAAGAAGCATCATACACTATAAAATACAGTATATTCATATGATATAGATGTTTGTTTAACTTACATGCATTATTATATATATATATTATGTGATTTCTGGAGGTGTGGAGATATCAATTTCCTTTTATAATATAATTTAGTAGTATCATATTTTTTTGAAAAACAATTTGAGAAAAATTTTTAATACAAAGATATATATATAGTACGATAAGATTTAATTTTATTAAGAACAAGTAAAATAATATCTATTTTGTAATCAAATACAATTATTTTTATATTTGTAATAATAAATATCAAAATTTTGATATCAAAAAAATTATACAATTTATAAATAAAATAAAACAAAGAAAATATATTTATAATGTTTAAAATAGCATTTATTGACATTTTGTAAGTTCTTTGTTTCTTTAATTTTATTTTGATAAAAATAATTAACATGATTTACTGGCAGAAGAAAGCCTATATTTGCTGATTGTTGACAATATGTGGATGCTTTTTGCTCATCCTTTTTGACTCCAATTCCTTTTTCATAGCAACATCCAACATTAAATATTCCTTTAGAATTTCCTATTTTTGCTGATTTTTGATAATAAATGAATGCCTTATGTTCATCCTTTTTAGCTCCAATTCCATTTTGATAGCAATATTCAACATTACATTTTCCTTCAGCATGCCCTAACTTCACGATTTTTGATAATAAATAAATGCTTTACATTCATTCTTTTCAATCCCAACTCCATTTCGATAACAATGTTTAACATTAAGTATTTCATTAGCATTCTTCATCTCTGCTAATTTTTGATAGTAAATAAATGCTATATATTCATCCTTTTCAACTCTAATTCTATTAAGATAAAAGTTTGCAAGAGCAAATATTCCACTAGAGTGTCCAATTTTTACAGATTTTTGATAATAAATAAATGTATTATGTTTATTCTTTTCAATTCCAATTCCATTTTGATAACAATATTCAACATTAAATGTTCCACTAGCATGTTCGATTTCTGGTAATAAATGAATGCCTTATGTTCATCATTTCCAACTCCAATTCCATTGAGATAACAATGTCCAATATTATATGTTCTGCTAGCATTTCCCATCTCTGCATACTTTTGGTAATAGATAACATATTTCTAAAACAGGTAATTATCCAATTAGATTTGTGTTTATTATGTAATCTGTTACACAAAAAATTGCTATGCATATCATATGATAAATGATCTACGTATACTTTACCCTTAAATTATATCTACATAATATGAGTAAAAAAATTTAAGAAAATTTGATATATTTAATTAATATTAAAAACTGTCTTACAACTAAAATTACATGCCAAAACTTCTACTTAGAGGTAGGAGTTAGTTGTCATAGTAAATTTTTGTTATTTATATGTTTTTATATTATACAAGATTTTTATTGGATCCGGACCAAGAATTTAGAGTCGAAAGTAATCTTTAGTCTAAGATTTTCTCGATGTAAGGGCACTCTATATATGTGGCATGCCTAATATCCATTTGGGATTTAGGCATTCCAGGTACTCAAGTCACAGGTCGAAATTGCTTTGACTCAGTCAAGCGGGTCAGAATTCAAAACCATGTTAAAATGTGCAATTTGCCTAATATAACTGTATAGGTAGAAGATATTATAATTTACTAAGTAGTAAAGCTCTTATCTGAGTTGTCTGATATATGCAGGTCATCTTCTTGACGTGTCATAGGTCAAAAATTGGCTTGTTATAGCTGTTTTCATAAATTCTGAGATACCTGATTCGATTAAGTTTATAATTCCGGCATAATCGATTCAAATTGATATACAGTACAGCAGTATTGTCACAGGACAGTTGTGGACAGTTAGTTTGAACACTTTGGATAATTTTAGACAATTAAATAAATTAAAATTACACAAAATTTTATTAAGATAATCTATATTACTTTCTAAGTAAAATATGTTCAGCACCTAAAAAAATATATAGTTATATATATTTTAAACAAATTTATTAATTATTAAAGCTTAAGTATACTCTGGACACTTTTGGACACTTGGACATTTGGACGTTGGACAGTACCAAAAAGGCCTTTGGACAGTCAAAATGTACATCACTGCAGTACAGTATATAATTTAAGATCCAGTGACTAATGAAAATATTACAAGACTTTAGTATGCGAAGTATGCATATCTATCTCTAGTTGAATACAAAAATATGATACTTCAAAGTGTCTTGCTAGCAAATACAGTAACTGAAAAAATTAGTATGCCTTCTTTAAGACGCACTTTCAAAGATACGGATATATTGAGAAACTTTCGTAATTTTACAACACAGCTGTAATATAGTATTTCCCGAAGCAGAAAATGAATGAACTCAAATCACGAGCAAGGTCAAAAATTTTTAATACAAAATCCGAAAAATTCCATTTAAATATTTGGAGTACATGCTGCTCTCTAAACCATATCGGCGTGTTTGATTTTTAGGCCTTTTTTTGATAAACCGTTATATAAAATTTTGTTCTTAAGTAACGTTGAGAAAGTAACGAAACAAAGCACTTGTTGTAACTAATAAAAAGGCATACTAAGCTGTAGAGAGAAGTACTTTTATTGTTTGTTGAAATACTCGGGTGTTTTAGGATGAGAACGATGGGTTGGTGGGTAAATACGGAAGCGAAGTTTCAAAAAACAACCTTTTTAACTTACTTTTGACTTATTATTAAATACATAGATGTCATAATTTTTTATATACTGTATTTAATTATGAACATAAGGTTGGTTAAAAAGGCCGTTCTTACGAAAATTCGTCTTGTAATAAATTTTAATATATGATAATTCTCAATCATGATTGGTTGATTTTGGGGTTGAACCCAAACACGCGATATACTAGTTACATCAACTTCTGAACTTTTAAGATGTTACAGAATAAAAACTACCAAAATGCATAAAAAAAAATGAGAATTTTTTCTGGCCAAAGTGAGAGGGTAGTTTCTATTCGGGATCAATTTTAATAATAAATATAATAACATTCTTCAAATTTTTGGATCCAAAATCGAGGAGTAGTTTTTATTCGGAGATAGCATTTATTCGGCAACATACTGTACTTCAAAAACTTTATGAATTTCCGGTTAACCCGTTGACAGTTATATGAAAGTATTTGCCGTCGATCAGTAACTTATTTCCAAGAAATGTCACGAAATCGGATTAAAATGCAATGAGAGATTTCTATTCCCCCCTAAAACTCATTTATACTTATTTATTATAAAACCTACCCCTAAACCCTAATCCTAACCATTAAAACATACTAAAAATGTGCACCCAAAAAATATGTATTTTTCATGGCATGTTTATTTTACACTATCTCTCATTTCATTTTAATCTGATTTTATTTAATCCGTCACAATAAATCTATTTCAATATTATTACTAACAGCTGTAATAATATGATATGTTTCGAAAGCATTCTACTCAAGGGCATAATGCTATAACGTAAAAAAGTTATCTAGAGTTATAAAATTGTTACATAGTGTAATAACAAAATGGTATTAATATTTGTTAAATCGGTGGTAGAAAGGATTAACAATAGTTACAAATTAATTTTGACCATTTGAGTCATAGTTCAATTCATTCACAATAATTTTAACTTCATTAACAAACTTTTCTATTTCTTTTTCACATTCTAATCTCAAATTTCTTCTATCATATTGGTTTGACCCATCTTTTCAATAACTTTATGTAATGCTTCGCTAGTCATAGTTACTTGTACATCTTTTATTCCATCTTCATACACCTCAGAAATCGATACTTTAATTTTACCATTCGAAAATTCATCTTTGCACTTAATAAAAATACGTTTATACGTGAAATTATGACGAGGTAATTAGCGGTATCTTCTAAAGTGAGAATTATTGTGTCAAGATTGCAAGTAGCATTTTTTATACAATTATAAAGTTCAGTGGGTAAATTTGTTATGGGTGGTTCTTGAGAAAGAACTTTGAACCGAAAATCCAAGGTAGATTTTGGACCAACAAAAGCGTAGAAAAGGATTTTATTGTTTGCAGCTTTAAATTTTCGTGGTATTAATTTACCATCTGATGTAATATATGTAGAAACAATAAAACGCTTTTCAGCTTGGTTATCAATTAAATGAATGGGATACTCTCTGAATGATTTCAGAACTTTTTTGATATTCCAATTCAACTAGGCGATTTTCAATAGCCTTTGCTACTTCCAAGGATATATGATTCATAAAAGTAGCTTTAACATCTTTTTTATAACCTATCTCATATTTAAGGAGTTCGCAGAGAGGAACCGATTCTGGAAGTTCCAAAACTTTTCTATTTGCCGGATAAAAGAGTTGCTTACCATATTAACTCTAACTTTGAAGTCAAGAGACTTGCTATCTTGCTTGAAAGTTTGTTCTATTATCCGTTTGGTAATGTAATCTACCGAAAATTTATCTTTACCGGGTGCGATGATGTCTTTGCCTGCCTAAAAAGTAAAATTATTATTATTATTATTATTATTATTTGATAAATACAGGTATATGCTGAAAAGGGATTATTATATATTCAAGATTAAGATTTCCAAATAATGAAGATAGTTGATCATCTTCTCTCATTTCTTTTCCTTTATCTAAAATGAAGTATGCTTTGTTTATGTTTTCCCTATCAACAATACCTTCATATTTTGAAAATAACCCAGTATTAAGTCTGGTTAATGGTGGTTGAAGTGCGATGATGGCTTCTACTGGATGATTATAAACTGCAATACTGTTCCAAACACAATCTTTGATTAAGTTAAGGGCAATCTTTCTAGCCTTTTGATAATGCATTTAGCCTTGGAGCGTCTTTCAATTTCGTTGATTTTAGACTATAATATGGCTAATAGAACGAAATGGAACTCTAATTGTTTCCATGACACTATAAATTCTTATTTAGATAGCTGACGTGGTAATTCAAAAGTCCTAAAGGAATAAGATTTTATGACCTGAATGGTTACCATTATCATCGCTTATATCAATTATTAACTAGAAATAAAAAGGAAGATACAGCATCATAGACTAAGTTTATTATGTTCCATACACATTAGTGTTAATAAGGGTTTGTTAAATTAAGATGACTTTTAAGTATTACGTAATAATTGAATAATCTAAGATATAGAGATAGAACATATTTGTCAACAATAACACGCATATATGTACAGTCTAAATCCAAGTTTTTAGGTTGCTTTTTTGATGTAGATTTTGTACTAGGTAAGAGCTGCATCAAAAAAGTCCATATGTAGCTTGGAGATCTCGATGACAGTTTGTAAATGTAAATGCTGAAAATCTGCTGCGTGCAACGTTGTGGTGTAACAATTCACATTTTTCAAAAAGTTATGTATTTAACAAGATTACTACAGTACTATAAATTTTATTTGTGACAATACATACATCATACATAGTTAACACACTATATTCATGCAGTAGGATAGGCCATATACGAGACCGGGTCATGTAATTTATACAATATCTGCGTCATGTATAACTTCAATAGTCTCTTATGTAGCTTTTTTTATTTGCTAAGCCTGCAAATAATATACGTAACAATTAGACAATCACATGACCCGGGTTTTGGGTGGCCGCCCTGGAGGCCTCGCCATATACGGGCAACATATGGATCTCTGCTAAAAAAAAACATAGGTTTCGCCTGCTGTTTGTCATGCAATAAATACAATAAATGTAATCATATTACTTAAAATATATCATACTACTTTGAATATTATCCGCACTACAAAAAGGTTAAATAATTCCATCTTCTTATCTCTCATTTCTCATATAAAAATTTGTTTGGAACAATAATAAAAAAGTCTTGGAAAGTGCGAACAAATTTAGTAAACACAAATGACTTTTACTTTTTGCTAATGCGCGATACTGTGGAGTAGTTTCTATTACTGGATCTATATTGTCACTACTCTAGGATAACAATGCGCACAATTTAACTTTTAATGTAAAATTTAAAATTTTCTCTGTCAGGAGTTAAGCATGTGTAATAAGAATGCACTAACAATACTTTTAAATTTGTAATTTAAATCTCGTAAGGGAAAACAATATAAATCTTAAGATTTTAGTGTAAGTTTATAATATATTTAAGCCGAAATAATGTCGTTTAAATGTAATTCTGTAATTGAGAAGGTAATTAAAATCAAGTGATCATAGTTATATTGTCATTGTCCACAAAATAGGAAATGCTATTACTCAGTCAATTGCTATTATAATACAATAATGAATGTGAAATTGAGTGTGATGTTAACATGCATGCATGCATAGAATTTTCACAAAAAAAATTTAGTTACAACCGTAATATAGAAAGCAGAATATGGATTGTAAAATTAATACTAAAGAATTAAATAGTGAAGTGTGTCCTTATTATAAAATCATTTAACTATAAAATTTATTATTTCAGATTATAATTATTAATCAAACAAGGTTCTGACATTCTTGAGATACTGGAATTATATAAGATTGCTATTCATTTTCGATTTCATCATCAAATTATGCTGATATCTCAAGAACGGGGAACCCTTTATTGATAATTTTGGATTTAAATGAGTGTATCAAATATTAGCATTAGTTTAAGCCAAAAATCATCGCGAAAGGTTCATAAATCCTCTTATACTCGAAAATCACGTGAAATGGTTAATGTACGTATACGTAGCACTATCTCCACAAAATTAACGGTCAGTTTTTTTAAAAAACTGATTCTATAAAGAGTTAGATGGACATGAAAATTTGATTTTTTATCGAATGGCTATAACTTCTATAGATGAGAGTTTTATCATAAAAAACTAACCGATAACGTAGAGCTCAATTATGTATAAAGTTATTGATCGATTTTTCAAAAAAAAAATACTGTAAAACATTTAAGCGTTTGGCAGTATATCGTATTGTATTGGTCACCCACAAATTTTATTTGTCAATTGCTATATATCGCGCGAAAATTGAAACATTTCACGTGATTTTCAAGTATAAGCTTCCGGCACCATACGTATGATGGATAATCTTTTTTTTAGAAATTCAATTTTCGTTACCAAAAAAAATCACTGATAATGAACAAATCATTTTCATATTGCTTAAGCATAATATTTTCCAGACATTTTTACTGACAGATCGACAAAATTCAAAATTTTAAAGCGCACAGCTCATATAAATTTTTTTTTTTATGACTTGCATAATTCTGATCCTAATTTTAATGACCTTATGACAGTCACTTTGTCTATGAAGTGAACTATCTGTGAAATAAGTTGTTTGTAAAATAAATTTATCAGTAAATTTATTGGTTGTGAAATAAGATGCCTATGAAATAATTGCCTGCAAAACGTACAGCAGTACAGGTTAAAGGTTAAAATAAAAGGTTAAACGATCTTTGTGAACTAGTTAAGCTAGATATTGCTACAATGTTTATAAAAATTTCTGGAATTTCAGTTAGATGTAAAGGCATTGTTCATAGATTAGTGGCAATTACATGATTAGTTACTTATTTTTCAATAAATTTATTTCACAATATTATAAACAACGGCTATAAAAATATAATAAACAACAGTTATAAAATTATAAAAATATAATAAACAACAGCTATAATAACATAATACTTAAGATTTGATAAAAAAAAAACTACATAAATGTAACCTACAGATGGCATTAATATTTGGTAAAGAAGTGGTAGAAAGGGTTAACAGTAGTTAAAAACTAATTATGACCATTATGACCATTTTGACCATTTGTGCCATAGTTCAATTCTTTTACAATACATTTAATTTCATTAACAAACTTTTCGATTTCATTAGTACATTCTAACTTCAATTTTTCATCTACCATATTAGAATGTTTCATCTTTTCAATAACCTTTTGTAATGCTTCGCTAGTTATAGTTACTTGTACATCTTTTATTCCATCTTCATATACTTCAGAAATCGATACTTTAATTTTACCATTCGAAAATTCATCTTTGCATTTAGTAAAAATACGTTTAATCTTGATACGTGCAATTGTGAAGAGGTAATTAGAGGTATCTTCTAAAGTGAGAATTTTTGTGCCAAGATTGTAAGTAGCATTTTTTATAGTATTAAAAAGTCCAGAAGGTATATTAGTTATGGGTGGTTGTTGAGAAAGAACTTTGAACCGAAAATCCAAGGTAGATTTTGGACCAACAAAGGAGTAGAAAAGAAGTCTATCGTTTTCAGCTTTAAATTCTCGAGGTATTAATTTACCATCTGATGTAATATTTGTAGAAACAATAAAACGTTTTTCAGCTTGGTTATCAATTAAATGAATGGATGCTCTCTGAATAATTTCGGAACTTTTTTGATATTCCAATTCAACTAGGCGATTTTCAATAATCTTTGCTACTTCCAAGGATATATGATTCATAAAAGTAGTTTTAACATCTTTTTTGTAACCGATCTCATATTTAAGGAGTTCGTGGAGAGGAATCGATTCTGGAAGTTCCAAAACTTCTCTATTTGCCGGATAAAAGAGTTGCTTGCCGATATTTACTCTGACTTTGAAGTCAAGAGACTTGCTACCTTGCTTGATAGTTTGTTCTATTATCCGCTTGGTAATGTAATCCACCGAAAATTTATCTTTACCAGGTGCGATGATATCTTTGGCCTGCCTAAAAAGCAATATTATTATGCTTATGATTATTATTATTATTATTATTAAATGATGAAAAGGGATTATTATGTACTCAAGATTAAGATTTCCAAATAATAAAGATAGTTGATCATCTTCGCTCATTTCTTTTCCTTTATCTAAAATGAAGTACGATTTGTTTATATTATTCTTATCAACGATACCTTCATATTTTGAAAATAATACAGTTTTGAGTCTGGCCAATGGTGGTTGAAGTGCGATAATGGGTTCTAGTGGATGATTATAAACTGCAATACTATTCCAGACACAATCTTTGATCAAGTTAATGGCAATCTTTCTAGCTTCATTAGCGCCTCTCACTTCAATAACGTCATTTTCCTTGATAGTGCATTTAGCCTTTGAACGTCTTTCAATCTCATTGATTTTAGAGTACTTTTTGCCTATAATATGACGAATAGAACGAAATGGAACTTGAATTGTTTCCATGATACTATACTATAAGACAAAGAAAGGTAATGTTATGGCTAATAATAATTATTAAATCCTTATTCAGATTGCTACGTAGTAATTCAAAAGTGCTAAAGGATTAGATTTTTATGATTCGGATGGGCTCTACCATTACGATTGCTTATATACATTTTTCCTATTAATAATTACACATTTAACGTTAATACAAATAAAAAAGGAAAACACTATAGACTAAATATATTATGTTCCAAACACGGTAATGCTAATAAGGGCTTGAGCATTTACGTAATATCGATATTGAATAATCTCAGATATAGAGATAGAACATATTTGTCAACAATGACATGCATATCGATATACAGTTAAATTCAAGTTTTTTTTGGTATTATGTAGATAAGTAAGATCTGCAAGGAGATCCCGTTGGCGGGCCATGGAGTTGGGGTGCATCAATTATTTTGCATAACGATAATTAACGGTAATGTTGAAAACCTGCTGCGTCGCGGGTATAAACAAATTTATATTTTTTTCTTTACTATGAACTTGTTTGTGTATCCATGAAGCAGGACAGGCAATATACGGACTCTACTAAAAAAATATCGGCTTCGTCTTGCCGTATTGTTATTCATACGTATAATGTATACAATAAATGTAATCGTTCTACATTGAATACTAAAAACACTACAAAAAGGTTAAATAAATTTGTCCTCTTATCTCATCTCATATAAAAATTTGTCAGTAACAATAATGAAACAGTCTTAGACTGTGCGAAAAATTTAATAAACACAAACGACATTTTTGGCTAATGCGCAATACTGTAGATCTATCTGTACAAATGTTATTGTTTATTAATAAGGTAAAGTTACGGGGCGGGAAATAGTTTTTATTTCTGGATCTTTATTGTTACTACTCTAGGATACAATGCACGTAGTCTAGCTTAAAAATGTAAGATTTATAATTGTCTCTATCAGGAGTCAAACGTGTAATCGATAAGAATGCACCAATAATGATTTGTTTAAGCCACTGCAAAGTTCCTTTAAATTGGTTGAGAGATACTGTCATTGTCTACAAAATAAGCAATATGTTATTGCCTAGTCAATTGTTATTATTATACAAACAATAAGAATTCCCACAATGTTTTACATCTTTATGTTGAACGGTGGTTAAATCAATTAATATACACGCTTGTGATTTCATAAAGAAATATTTAGTCAACCGTAATACAGAAAGTAGAATCATGAGCCTTAATATTAATTAAGTGGAATTAAATAGTGACATAATTTTTTCATTACATGATTAACAACGGCTATAATAAAATACCATAGCTCGAAAACATAATATTAATTACAAGATGGTATTAATAGTTATAAAATTAATTTTGACAATTCATGTCATGATTCAATTCATTTACAATACATTTCACTTCATTAACAAAATTTCCTATTTCATTATCACATTCTAACTTTAATTTTTCTTCTATATTGTCTGTTTGACTCATTTTTTTAATAACCTCATGTAATGCTTCGCTAGTTATAGTTACTTGTAAATCATTTTTTTCATCTTCGTAAACCTCGGAAATTGATACTTTAATTTTACTATTTGAAAATTCATCTTTGCATTTAATAAACGTGCGCTTAATCTTGACACGCCTAATTGTAAAGAGATAATTAGAGGTATCATCTAAAGTGATCATTTTTGTGTCGACATTGTAATTAGCATTGATTATAGAATTATAAAGTTCGATAGGTAAATTTGTTATTGAAGGTTCTTGAGAAAGAACTTTGAGCCGAAAATCCAAGGTAGATTTTGGACCAGCAAAAGCGTAGAAAAGAAGTTTATTGTTTTCAAATTTAAATTTACGAGGGATTATTTTACCATCCGATGTAATATTTGTAGAAACGATAAAACGTTTCTGAGCTTTTTTATCAATTAAGTAAATAAATGCTCTCTGAATAAGTTCAGAACTTTTTTGATATTCCAATTCAACTAGGCGATTTTCAATAGCCTTTGCTACTTCCAAGGATATATGATTCATAAAAGTAGCTTTAACATCTTTTTTATAACCTATCTCATATTTAAGGAGTTCGCAGAGAGGAACCGATTCTGGAAGTTCCAAAACTTTTCTATTTGCCGGATAAAAGAGTTGCTTACCATATTAACTCTAACTTTGAAGTCAAGAGACTTGCTATCTTGCTTGAAAGTTTGTTCTATTATCCGTTTGGTAATGTAATCTACCGAAAATTTATCTTTACCGGGTGCGATGATGTCTTTGCCTGCCTAAAAAGTAAAATTATTATTATTATTATTATTATTATTTGATAAATACAGGTATATGCTGAAAAGGGATTATTATATATTCAAGATTAAGATTTCCAAATAATGAAGATAGTTGATCATCTTCTCTCATTTCTTTTCCTTTATCTAAAATGAAGTATGCTTTGTTTATGTTTTCCCTATCAACAATACCTTCATATTTTGAAAATAACCCAGTATTAAGTCTGGTTAATGGTGGTTGAAGTGCGATGATGGCTTCTACTGGATGATTATAAACTGCAATACTGTTCCAAACACAATCTTTGATTAAGTTAAGGGCAATCTTTCTAGCCTTTTGATAATGCATTTAGCCTTGGAGCGTCTTTCAATTTCGTTGATTTTAGACTATAATATGGCTAATAGAACGAAATGGAACTCTAATTGTTTCCATGACACTATAAATTCTTATTTAGATAGCTGACGTGGTAATTCAAAAGTCCTAAAGGAATAAGATTTTATGACCTGAATGGTTACCATTATCATCGCTTATATCAATTATTAACTAGAAATAAAAAGGAAGATACAGCATCATAGACTAAGTTTATTATGTTCCATACACATTAGTGTTAATAAGGGTTTGTTAAATTAAGATGACTTTTAAGTATTACGTAATAATTGAATAATCTAAGATATAGAGATAGAACATATTTGTCAACAATAACACGCATATATGTACAGTCTAAATCCAAGTTTTTAGGTTGCTTTTTTGATGTAGATTTTGTACTAGGTAAGAGCTGCATCAAAAAAGTCCATATGTAGCTTGGAGATCTCGATGACAGTTTGTAAATGTAAATGCTGAAAATCTGCTGCGTGCAACGTTGTGGTGTAACAATTCACATTTTTCAAAAAGTTATGTATTTAACAAGATTACTACAGTACTATAAATTTTATTTGTGACAATACATACATCATACATAGTTAACACACTATATTCATGCAGTAGGATAGGCCATATACGAGACCGGGTCATGTAATTTATACAATATCTGCGTCATGTATAACTTCAATAGTCTCTTATGTAGCTTTTTTTATTTGCTAAGCCTGCAAATAATATACGTAACAATTAGACAATCACATGACCCGGGTTTTGGGTGGCCGCCCTGGAGGCCTCGCCATATACGGGCAACATATGGATCTCTGCTAAAAAAAAACATAGGTTTCGCCTGCTGTTTGTCATGCAATAAATACAATAAATGTAATCATATTACTTAAAATATATCATACTACTTTGAATATTATCCGCACTACAAAAAGGTTAAATAATTCCATCTTCTTATCTCTCATTTCTCATATAAAAATTTGTTTGGAACAATAATAAAAAAGTCTTGGAAAGTGCGAACAAATTTAGTAAACACAAATGACTTTTACTTTTTGCTAATGCGCGATACTGTGGAGTAGTTTCTATTACTGGATCTATATTGTCACTACTCTAGGATAACAATGCGCACAATTTAACTTTTAATGTAAAATTTAAAATTTTCTCTGTCAGGAGTTAAGCATGTGTAATAAGAATGCACTAACAATACTTTTAAATTTGTAATTTAAATCTCGTAAGGGAAAACAATATAAATCTTAAGATTTTAGTGTAAGTTTATAATATATTTAAGCCGAAATAATGTCGTTTAAATGTAATTCTGTAATTGAGAAGGTAATTAAAATCAAGTGATCATAGTTATATTGTCATTGTCCACAAAATAGGAAATGCTATTACTCAGTCAATTGCTATTATAATACAATAATGAATGTGAAATTGAGTGTGATGTTAACATGCATGCATGCATAGAATTTTCACAAAAAAAATTTAGTTACAACCGTAATATAGAAAGCAGAATATGGATTGTAAAATTAATACTAAAGAATTAAATAGTGAAGTGTGTCCTTATTATAAAATCATTTAACTATAAAATTTATTATTTCAGATTATAATTATTAATCAAACAAGGTTCTGACATTCTTGAGATACTGGAATTATATAAGATTGCTATTCATTTTCGATTTCATCATCAAATTATGCTGATATCTCAAGAACGGGGAACCCTTTATTGATAATTTTGGATTTAAATGAGTGTATCAAATATTAGCATTAGTTTAAGCCAAAAATCATCGCGAAAGGTTCATAAATCCTCTTATACTCGAAAATCACGTGAAATGGTTAATGTACGTATACGTAGCACTATCTCCACAAAATTAACGGTCAGTTTTTTTAAAAAACTGATTCTATAAAGAGTTAGATGGACATGAAAATTTGATTTTTTATCGAATGGCTATAACTTCTATAGATGAGAGTTTTATCATAAAAAACTAACCGATAACGTAGAGCTCAATTATGTATAAAGTTATTGATCGATTTTTCAAAAAAAAAATACTGTAAAACATTTAAGCGTTTGGCAGTATATCGTATTGTATTGGTCACCCACAAATTTTATTTGTCAATTGCTATATATCGCGCGAAAATTGAAACATTTCACGTGATTTTCAAGTATAAGCTTCCGGCACCATACGTATGATGGATAATCTTTTTTTTAGAAATTCAATTTTCGTTACCAAAAAAAATCACTGATAATGAACAAATCATTTTCATATTGCTTAAGCATAATATTTTCCAGACATTTTTACTGACAGATCGACAAAATTCAAAATTTTAAAGCGCACAGCTCATATAAATTTTTTTTTTTATGACTTGCATAATTCTGATCCTAATTTTAATGACCTTATGACAGTCACTTTGTCTATGAAGTGAACTATCTGTGAAATAAGTTGTTTGTAAAATAAATTTATCAGTAAATTTATTGGTTGTGAAATAAGATGCCTATGAAATAATTGCCTGCAAAACGTACAGCAGTACAGGTTAAAGGTTAAAATAAAAGGTTAAACGATCTTTGTGAACTAGTTAAGCTAGATATTGCTACAATGTTTATAAAAATTTCTGGAATTTCAGTTAGATGTAAAGGCATTGTTCATAGATTAGTGGCAATTACATGATTAGTTACTTATTTTTCAATAAATTTATTTCACAATATTATAAACAACGGCTATAAAAATATAATAAACAACAGTTATAAAATTATAAAAATATAATAAACAACAGCTATAATAACATAATACTTAAGATTTGATAAAAAAAAAACTACATAAATGTAACCTACAGATGGCATTAATATTTGGTAAAGAAGTGGTAGAAAGGGTTAACAGTAGTTAAAAACTAATTATGACCATTATGACCATTTTGACCATTTGTGCCATAGTTCAATTCTTTTACAATACATTTAATTTCATTAACAAACTTTTCGATTTCATTAGTACATTCTAACTTCAATTTTTCATCTACCATATTAGAATGTTTCATCTTTTCAATAACCTTTTGTAATGCTTCGCTAGTTATAGTTACTTGTACATCTTTTATTCCATCTTCATATACTTCAGAAATCGATACTTTAATTTTACCATTCGAAAATTCATCTTTGCATTTAGTAAAAATACGTTTAATCTTGATACGTGCAATTGTGAAGAGGTAATTAGAGGTATCTTCTAAAGTGAGAATTTTTGTGCCAAGATTGTAAGTAGCATTTTTTATAGTATTAAAAAGTCCAGAAGGTATATTAGTTATGGGTGGTTGTTGAGAAAGAACTTTGAACCGAAAATCCAAGGTAGATTTTGGACCAACAAAGGAGTAGAAAAGAAGTCTATCGTTTTCAGCTTTAAATTCTCGAGGTATTAATTTACCATCTGATGTAATATTTGTAGAAACAATAAAACGTTTTTCAGCTTGGTTATCAATTAAATGAATGGATGCTCTCTGAATAATTTCGGAACTTTTTTGATATTCCAATTCAACTAGGCGATTTTCAATAATCTTTGCTACTTCCAAGGATATATGATTCATAAAAGTAGTTTTAACATCTTTTTTGTAACCGATCTCATATTTAAGGAGTTCGTGGAGAGGAATCGATTCTGGAAGTTCCAAAACTTCTCTATTTGCCGGATAAAAGAGTTGCTTGCCGATATTTACTCTGACTTTGAAGTCAAGAGACTTGCTACCTTGCTTGATAGTTTGTTCTATTATCCGCTTGGTAATGTAATCCACCGAAAATTTATCTTTACCAGGTGCGATGATATCTTTGGCCTGCCTAAAAAGCAATATTATTATGATTATGATTATTATTATTATTATTATTAAATGATGAAAAGGGATTATTATGTACTCAAGATTAAATTTTCCAAATAATAAAGATAATTGATCATCTTCGTTCATTTCTTCCCCCTTATCTAAAATGAAGTATGATTTGTTTAAATTGTTCTTATCAACGATGCCTTCATATTTTGAAAATAGTATTGTTTTGAGTCTGGCCAATGGTGGTTGAAGTGCGATAATAGCTTCTATTGGGTGATTATAAAGTACAATACTGTTCCAGATGCAATCTTTGATCAAACTAAGGGCAATCTTTCTAGCCTCATCTGTGCCTTTCACTTCTATGATGTTTTGCTTGATAGTACATTGAGCCTTGGAACTTCTTTCAATTTCGCAAATTTTAGAATATTTTTTGCCTATAATATGACAAATAGAACGAAACGGAACTTGAATCGTTTCCATGACACTACACTATAAGACAGTTAAAGTAATGTTTTGGGCTAATAATAATCACTAAATCCTTATTTAGGTGGCTGCGTAGTAATTCAAAAGCTTATTTATTTTTCCGATTTATAATTCAACTTATCATAAAAACATTATTTGAAAAATCCTATTTATTTTATAAAATGCTACTTTGAAACATCCTAATATCATAACCGCCATGACCAATGCAAATCATGATATACTTGTACCACATATCAAAATAAAATTGTTTTCTACGTATTCAATAAAGTTTGCTTATCAATGTGGTATTCATCCTACAGCAGTCAAAAAGAAAAAGTCTTTTGTATTTTTGTCATACTTTCAAAGACTGCTTCAGTTAAATTATTATATGGGATATAAGAGGATGAGTTTATTTAACCTTTTCGTAGTACGTAGAATGAATACATTTGTTGAATTTAAACATGAGTAACAATACGGTAAGCAGAGTCCGAATGTGCGGAGATGGCTTCTGGATATATCCATTCGGCTTCACGGATATAGTGCAGCAAATAATTTCATTGTATTTATAAATTTCCGAAAAAAATATGAATTTGTTTCACCACAACGCCACAACGCCACAAACGCCACGACACAGCAAATCAGAAAATTGTCATAAACTATGCATATGGGTTAGAGGAGAGTAGTTTATATAGTATAATTGCCAAGTGAAAACTTTTTATTAGAGCATTAATAATGTTATGTTGAATTTTTATATAGTTTGTTTTTACCTTTTATTTTATTTTTTCTTATTGTTCTCTAATTGCATATTACTAAAGCATGATCCCAAGAGTACGCACTTCTAGAGTGTTTACTGCACTTGAATAGAAAACTGTTTATTAACTAAATTAGTATGATAAAAAATTAAACTTTAAATACTTCTATTAATAAATAATTTGTATGTTTACTGATCAAATCAACACTGATAAAAAAGTAGGAGGTTAGTAGATTATTTTAAATATTTAGAGTAATAAATAATTGTTATACCTACTAGTTAAATATGAGATTATATTTTAAAATTGGTTGCCAAATTATTTCTGCTATGATCTTTCATTATTGGTGTACTTTAATAAAATATGCAGCATTATAGTTGATAAATATTTTAAAACAAATTGATCAAAAGCCTATTGAAATTAGAAATCTTATGCAAATATAAGAAATTATTCTTGAGTTTTTCATTATTTCTTTCTTTAAAGCACTATTATAAAAAATCAATTTTTCTTTTAGGTTTGTATTAGATGTTCTTGGAAAAGTTGGCTTTTGTTTTGACTTTAATATAAGTGTAAAGAAATTATTATTGATAGATAATTAGTCAATTTTTTATTCTAATAAATATTTGAATTAGAATTTTGGTTCTCCGAAGAATGTTTATATAACAGTATATAATGATGTTCAAAAAGATCTCATAAATTCATCTGTTATTATTCTTCCAATTGAACACATTCCAGAGATAAGGCAACGAAACATTATAAAATTGATAAATTAAATAGTTTGTTCAAAGAAATTATTATCTTTTAGAGCTTAAGTTAAATATTAACAAAATCAAGATAATCAAATGTTATCAAATACTAAACTAAGGATAAATTAAATTCTTTTTTTTTCTTACGTTATTATGATAAATTTTATTAGAGTTTTAATTTAAATAACATAATCTAGCAATTTTTATGTTTTGTTAGTCATGAAAAAAGTACATACATACTAATGCTTATATTAAAAGAAATACAGTATATAGTATTTCAATATTGTAATACTTGATAAATTTATAAATTAGCAGCAATTGCATTATAACGATTTTATGTCATTAATAAAAGAGAAATATTTAGAAATTTCTGGCAATATTGACATTAATAATTAATAATATTATTTTAAAAAAATCAGATTTATTATTCGGAACAGCATAGTTCATTTCAACAGGTATCACCCTAAATATAACAAATTTTATGACAATTATGTAACATAATATTTAGAAATTTCTGGCAATATTATTATAGAAAAATATTAGTTTTATTGCCTGAGGACAACATCCACCATTCGAATAGACTTATTACAGGGGGACAACATCCACCACCCGAACAACAGCCACCACCCTAAATATGACAAATTTTATGCACAAAATTAGTAGAATAATCACAATCACATAACATAATGTGAGATAAATAGAGAATATAACTAGATTACAACATGTGTTCAAACATAAAAATAATTCATCAAGTAATAAAGCATAATAAGGATATACATATTTACCGGAGGGCAGCACCAACTTGAGTCTTCACAACAGACGGGTGTGTCCTTTATAAATAAAAAGAAAACAAATAGTTAGAAATTTCTGACAATATTATCGTTAATAATGAATAATATTATTATATAAAAAGATTAGATTTATTACAGGGGTACAACAGCTATCTGCACAACAGGTATTATCCTAAATATATCAAATTTTATGAAAAATTAGTTGAATAATCATAATAAAAATTTCTGACAATATTATCATTAATAATTAATAATATTATTATAAGAAAATATTAAATTTATTGCCTGAGGACAACATGAATTCGGACAACATTTATTATCCTACTTATGTCAAATTTTATGGCACAAAATTAGTAGAATAATCACAATCACATAATATAATGTAGAATTAATTGAGGATATTTCTAGAACACAATATATATTCGAACATAAAACAATCATATAGTAATAAAACATAATAAGTATATACATATTTACCTGAGGACAACACATATTTGGACAACATTTATCACCAAATTTTATGGCACAAAATTATTAGAATAATCACAATCACATAATATAATGTAGGATTAATAGAGGATATTTCTAGAACACAATATGTATTCGAACATAAACAATCATACAGTAATAAAACATAATAAGTATATACATATTTACCTGAGGACAACATGAATTCGGACAACATTTATCACCCTAATTATGTCAAATATGTAGGATTAATAGAGGATATTTCTAGAACACAATATGTATTCGAACATAAAACAATCATACAGTAATAAAACATAATAAGTATATACATATTTACCTGATGGCAACAAATATTTGGACAACAGGTGGGAAAGTCCTTTATAAATAAAAAAGAGAAATATTTAGAAATTTCTGGCAATATTGACATTAATAATTAATAATATTATTTTAAAAAAATCAGATTTA